AGCTGTAACTTCCCCGTGGGTCACAAAAACAGTTCCGACTTAACAAGCCTACGTAACGAAAATTTTTGATGCAAATGAACTCCAACAGCTTCGCTAAATCCAGTTCCGTTTTGAAAAGGGGGTAAGATTCTGTGTTTTTGCTTCTACTTATTTTCTCGACTTTTTTGCCATTTTTTCATGTATTCGGTGACTTCGTGATAGATATGGATGGGAAGTTAAATGAGTCTATCTGCGCAACTACCAATTGCCACATTAATAAACTCAGCTACTGTGAAGCACCGTTATCTATCGAACTCCCTCTGTCTACAAGCCTACAATCGAAGCAACTGCTCAAAACCAAAATCAGATGACGTACGAGTGGAAAAACTGCTCGAACAGATCAGTGTATTCACTGGTTGTCAGAGGCCAAACAGCGGCTGACTGCTGCGGAAATAGAGAACGTGGAACGCCAAAACCGTAACAGCATCAGTTTCAGGACTATGCGCACATGCCTGCACAAATCTGTTCTAAATGTGTAGACTGCAAGAAGGAAACCGTTTGTCCCAACTAAGCTTCGAAAACTTCGGCTGCTAATCGTCAAAGACCTTGTTCAACGAACAGAAGTCAGTTTGAGTAGCCTTCAATGATGAATTTAAGTTCAATTTGAAAAGTTATGATAACAGTACTATTCTAAGAAGAATTGATGAGAATTTCAATCCTGGTTACACTCAGAGAAATGTTACACTCGAAGATAAATCTGTAACGGTTTGTGGAGATATAAAATGGCACGACTTAAGGCGCACTTGCCGGGTCGATAAAACCATTGAACATTTTTTGGCATCTTAATGATGTCCTCCAGCCATATCCAGCCAAAATACTTCCTAATGGTTGACTATGCAGTAAAATAACGATTCAAAACAAACCTCAATCCTCACTTACTCTTCGACTGTCAGCGGAAAACAGACTTAAAGCCTTTAAAATCCCGCCTCAGAACCCAAACTTAAACCCGCCAGAAATGTTGTATGAAAATTTAACACTAGAGAAAAAAACGCCGAAGAATATTCGAAAAAGTGTAACAGCAACTCGAGAGAGTAGGAGTAAAATACCACAAATCAGTCGTATTATATCAACAGGATCGGTGGAAATTAAAATAAAAGAGATAATCGAGCAAAAAGGATACACGATTTCCTCCCCCATTAAATTTTTTTTACTGACATTTTGGTTTTTTTGTCATAGAAGTACTTAAGTCCTACATACTTCATCAAAATCCCACTTCTCGCCTTCTATTTACAAATGTCTACATTCAGTAAATTTATACATAAAAGTAGCACTTACTCTTTAGGTAACTAACAAAAATGTACTTTTCAACTAGAAAAAAA